GATTCAAACTGGCTTGGCCCCCCCTTTTCAAGGAGCCTTGGGAACAGACCGGCCTCCTTTTGTGGAGAGCCCTGCCGGATTCTGAGCTGCCAGCCAGACACAGGGTGCCCTCGCCACATGCAGGCAGGCGGGGAGCTCGGACCTGGAAGGCCCTCCTGCCTCATGGGACGCATCCTGCCACCGCCGGCGGCGCCCCCGCCCTCTGCTTCTCTGGCCTCTCTGGGACCCTCTGGCTTGGACGACCAGGCGGCATCCAGCAGGGGCGCAAACACCCTTTACCCTCGGGCTCCGGCAAGGCAGCAAGGGGCAGCCCTGGCTGGCAAGCAGAGCCTCCTCGGGCTCAGAGCTGCGCTGTGTCCCCGGCACTGTCCTGACCATGACTCAAGGCGGCTCCGGGTCATAGGAAACGGTGTCTTACGACCACAACGTTGAGTCAAGTGCCACAGGCTTTTTGAGCCTCATTCACAGCACAGCAGGAGTGTGCTGAGAGAGGTCTCCCAGCCAGGCGTGTTGGCCCGCAGCTGCAGTCACAGCTGCTCCAGAGGCTGGGACAGGGAGATCGCCTGAGCCCGGCGAGGCTGCCGTGAGCTGTGATGGTGCCACAGGGCTCCAGCCTGGGCGGCAGAGGGAGACCTCAACTCAAGAAACGAATGGCTAAAAAGCCGGGCGTCTCTGGTTCACCTTCAAAGCCAAGGGAAAGCAAAATTATGAATGCTTGCTTGCCGACAATGGCCTCAAGCCAGCTAAGTAAGGACACAGTCCTCTGGTCACACAGCCAAGGACTACGGCTAAACCCAACACTCCCACGGGATTTCTTACCTTGCCTTTTCCAAGGAAAGAAATGAAACCACCAACTAACACATCTTAGGGCTCAGATGTTCATAAGGGAGCAAAAGCAGGCCACCACCAAAGCAAGCATCCTCAAAGATCCTCACGTCTAGGGGTTCAGCTTTGGCTGCACAATAGAATGCCGGCTTTGTCCTCTGTGGCTTGGGTGTGCCTGGCAAGGTGAGGTTTCTACACACGGCTAGGAAGGAAGCGGGCTTCGCTGGCCCTGGGGTCCCGGGTCAGGGCTGACTCGGAGCAGCCAGGGCCAAGGCTCAGACTCGTCGCCAGCAGGCGGCCCGTGTGACCAAAGGCAGGTGCCACCACGGTGTCCGCAGGAAGTGGGGCGCTTCGCCCAGCTGACAGCACCTGCTCCGGCTGGCCACATCCCTGGCCGGCCCTAGCCCCCCGTGGGCCCTGGTGAACGTGCCAGCTCTGTCTCGGCTCTGCCGCGAGGGTGGGGCTCCGGGGAGGCGCTGGCCCGGCGAGCGGCCCCGGCCCCCAGCACTCATCCAAGGCCGTGAGGAGGAACTCCGGAACCGGGGCAAGGACTGAGGGAGGCCCCGCACGTTCTCAGCTCCCTCCTGGGACAAGGGCAGGGCTCGCGTCCGTTGCCGTGGAATTCCGACCCTGGCTTTGGGGAAGAAAAGCATACGGCGCTGTCTTTTGTCAGGACCCCTTTTCGTTAGTTTGGTGGTTAAATAACACATGGTTTTTAAAAGTCACGTACTCAGCACTCACCCAAAAAACCACCCAAGCACTAAACGTGTGTGCGTGTGTGAACATACACACAGAAAGCACAAAGTAGTTGAAGTCACCATTCAAAATCGACACTTGCTCTGACTCTTTCTCACAGAATGACCAGTGGCTGCACAGTCGCTGTTTTAAGTGACTGGTTAAATGAAAGCCAGAACTCAGTATCTCAGGAGCATGGATAACATTTGCAAGTGAACAGTGACTACAACAGCATCTCAGTTGCTTGGTCTCTGGAAACGAGGCGGTGCTGCTTCAGACGACAGTTCAGGTTCTGACCTCCCTTCCCACGGGAGGACACACCTGCGGGCATCCACACGCCTTCCTGTGTCGCCGCAAGGAGTCTGCTGGGCAACTTCCGTGACGCTCCATGATTTTGCAGAGGGTCCAGGACAGTCTCTGTGGACATATTCTGAACATGATTCCTGAACTTCAACTGGAATTCCTTACATAAAAAACAGTCGCCTCTCTTCACCTTCTGGAGAAAGTGCTGGACTGGCTCGTTAGGGACGGGCAGTGCCCACTCTGGAAGCCCCTCTACCCACACCCCTCAGACCAAAACGTGCAACAAATTCACACGACACGGGAAAAGCAACACCTATTGTTCTTAGAGTCCGACTCTTCCCACAGCAAGAAAAGTCTCTTCATAGGCTCGCCCCAGCCACTCGAAGTCGCCAGGGAGTAGGGCTCTTCAGGCCAGAGCGGGAAAGTCTTCGGGGTCATCTGGGTTGGGAGCCACGTCCTGTATCTAAAGGAGAAAAGAACAGTCTGGAAGGCCACTGCCATCTTTCCTACACCCGACACGGCCGGCACAAGGCGGCCCCAGCAGCACCAGGGAGCCTGGCTCCAGCAGAGGGGTCGGTGGGCCCAGTCTGGGGGGAGGGACGGGCGGAGCCACCACCAGACCAGAGAGCTGCTCCCACGCACGCTGCCTGCCTTCCCTTCCTGCTTCCCGCAAACCCTCACTTGGGACCCTCTTGTGTCTGGCGCCTCCTTCGCCCGACAGATGGGTAAACCACACGCCGACCCGAAGCCACAGGACAACAAAGACGGCTCCCGTCCCGGGGGTTCACACGCTGGGGAGAGGATCACTGGGGACGTGCAGTCACAGCCATCCTGGGGGCGGGGGCCCATGGCCGGGACACCCAGTCCAATCGGGGGCAAAGCAGAAGTCAAGGTCAGGCAGTTTTCTGGAAGAGAAGGCTCTCCCTGAGATAAGCCTCCGCGGATGTGCCAAGCAAACAGTGATCTGGAAACGGCGTGACCTGACAGTGAGGGGGACAGCCCTGGGGGAGTTCTGCGCCGAAGGAACACAGGCAGGAAGTGGGGACAGACCTGGGTGGAGAGGCAGCGGGCACTAGGCTCCAGTGGCTTCATAAAGCCCTCCACAGAGGACTGCAGGTGCCAGAGCTCTGCTGCTGGAAAGGAGTGAGTGCGTGTTTTCTTTGCTGGGCTCAGGCAGTCCTCCCATCTCAGCCTTCCAGGTAGCCAGAACTACAGGCGAGCGCTACCATGCCCAGCTAGTTTTTTTCAGATTTATTGTAGAGATGAGGTCCCGCCAAGTTGCCTGAGGTGTCCTCGAACCTGTAGGCTCAGGCAATCCCCTCACCTCGGCTTCCCAAAGTGCTGGGACTACAGGCTTGAACCACTGAGGCCAGCCTTCTTTTTTTTTTTTTAATTGGAAAATATAGTTTATTTAGAGAGTAAATTGGAGAGAGAGAGAGGAGATTTGGAGATTCAAGGCAGAGGAGGGGTCAAAGCTAGAGCCACGTGGCCGGACCACAGCATAGCAAACAATGGCCGTGAGTGGGCCTTCCCTCCCCGAAAGAGAGCCTTCTTCCAACCTGGCCTCAAATGTACTCCGAAGAGAGCACTGTTGCGCTTCGCTCTTGCTGAAGGGAGAACCAGCGATCAGCACTTCCTCAAGGCTGCGCCCCAAGCGCGGGAGGCAGGCGCAGAGGGACCCTGCGAGGCCAGCCACGAGCAGGGGGCTGTC